CATGTAGGTGACAGAGGCATGGAGAGCTTGCCTGTTATCAGCCGTGAGGCTCTGAATATTTAGTCCTGTGTGTGCAGCAAAAAAGAACCAGTACAAGATGCATCTCTTGGCAAAAAACAGAGAGGCTCCAAATTCCATGTCCTCCATCCTGGTGCCCGTCTGCTCCTCAGTAGCATCCGGGAAGCAGCAGAAGAGCTTCCACAGGCCTGCAGACATGGGGGCTCTTTCATGTGCCCTGTTTCGTTGCAAAATATGCTGCAATGAAAAGGATGTAACAGAGCAGTTCTTCTCTGGGGATAACACGGGAGAGACAAACATTGCTGGAGCACTGTGTTGGGCTCTAAATATCTGGCTGAAGTAGTTTGGAGGCGAGAGAAAAACATAGCCAAGATCTCTCCTGTGGGCTGCGCCAGCAGATATTAAAAATAGCCAAGTTATCGACTCCTCCCACCTCAGACAGGTCCAGCACCAGCTTAGAGGCTAGTAGCACCTGGCCCTGCCTGCCCAACACCTCGCAGCTGTTCAAAACAGCCTGTGAAATGAGCTGGTAAATTTGCTGCAAGTCCTCGGTAGATAAAAGTATCAGCATCACCACATGCAAGTGCAGGAGGAGCAGCCAGGGTTAAAGGCCCAGTCTGCACCTCCTGGAGAGTGACCATCCGTGGGGGGCCACATAGTCATCGTTTTGCAGTGCAGCCCCCTCCTAGCTTCTTCCTCATGCAGAAATGAAGGCAGAAGAGATATGCACTGCACTGGAGAGGCCCAGGGGCTTGGGGTGCCGCCAAAAGGGGGCTGCAGAGGGAACCCCCTTCCATACCTCCATGTTCCTGCTGTCCTTCCCCATCCACTGACTCTCTCTCCATACTGGCAAGGATGTTAAGGGTGGGAAGGGACCTCAGGAGGTCACCTCTAATTCAACCCCCTGCTCCAAGCAGGAGCAGGCCCAGCTACATCATCCCAGTCAAGGCTTTGTCTAGTCAGGTCTTCAAAACCTCCAAGGATGGAGATCCCACCTGCTTTCTGATAGATATGATATAATTTCTGTGCATAGAAAGTTAAGTTACTCATTAAAGAACTGAAAAAACCCCAGACTCCAGCATTGACTGAAAATATTAGATCTATCATGAAACATTTACTATGTTCCGAGGAAGATGAAGTCTTGGGATCACTTAGGTGTTGTTGGAAATACTGAGCAAATATTTTTACTAGAATCAGTAACGCAGATAAGGTGAAGCTCGGCAGTTCTAAACTATGAACAAATGCTGTCAAAGAGAACAAGATAAACATGCCCAATAAATTTAAATGTAAACATTAATTTTTACAGTTAAAATATACAGAGGAAGCGATGCGATTTCTAGTTGGAGAATTTCCTCCTAAACAAGGCAGTCACATTCTTTAAGCAAAAAATCAAGCAAAACCTTAGAGAAGGTCAGGACAGGACAAGCCATCACAACAGACTACCCTATCCCCTGATGAAATCCTCAGCATCTGGGCCTGTTCTATTTAGGACGATCTCCTGTGAGGAGCTGTTCATATTGTGCATTAGCACTTGACTGTATTTAGCTACTAGGAAGGTTGAAATCTCTGCCTGAGCAGGCTGCCAACCATCTTTGTTTATTCAACGTGATCCATCTGTAGTAGTTAATCTACGGGACAAGTCTCCGAGGGATTTCTGCTTTAAACGTAGGGGCTGCTCCTTGCATAGGATGCCACAGATTTCTGAGCTCACGACACATTCCAGTTGTTGCTATGTTTCCAGTCCAAGTGCCAGCTTAAATCCTGAATGAGCTATTTGCACTCTGGCAACAGCCGACACTGGTAGGGCACAGCAGCATGCAGAGAGCACAAAAGCATCACTGCCTCCATTCAGTCCAAGCAGCTTGTTACTTGGAGCTACCTTAGCCTGAAGTTATAGCTCAGCTCCAGGGCTGCACTCCAAAAGGAAGCGAAGAGTAAAGTTATTTGGACAGTATCAGCTTATTTTTAGCTGCTGGCTTCAGAAACAGTTTACTTTGCGAGGTATGAGAGGGGTATGGTCCACAATATGCCTCTGTGGTTGGGTCAGCAGCCAGTGCATTTGAATTCAGATCCCTTAGCTGGTGGTATCCTCTAGGGCTGCATCTATGCCCCAAGTATTTTCTTCCAGTTGAGAGCATGAAGGGCAATGCGACCCTCAACACCCTTCAGTTCTTTCACCAGCACAAAACAGCAGGGTTATGCAATTCCCTGGCAATGGGGAAAGGAGGGTGAGTCATGAACTAGCCAAGGACCATCCATCACAAAAGAGCCAGAGTTACTGGAAGTAGATGTTTCTCTCTCTCTGAAGGCCCCATATATATTCCACTGCTGGCAACTTGCAAGCAGTGATGCAGGCCACAGGAAAGGGGTGCTAGAGTCTGCTTAAAAATGGGTTGCAAGGCAGCCCTTCTAAAATACATCCAGGTCTTGATGCTTGCGTTATGGAGTAGCGTTGGGGTCCTGTATGAAGCCAAACCCCAAGAAGCTGCCCTACATCCTCTCTAATACTGAAACAGGTCTTAAAGAAGCTACAGAAGCCACTTGCACGAAATGAGCCGTTGCTTTCATGGGAGCATCCAAGTCAACTGTTTCACAATACAGCTTAAGTGGAAATCCTCCTAGAGAAGCCCAGTGTCAACATGGCCTGATCTTTCACCATATCCCTGTAAGTTAGGCAGAAAGGGCATGCTCCAGGGACTCTGAGCTGGAGGGTGCAAAGCAAACTTTACCTATATTCAAATGTGGGTTTAGGTGAAAACACTAGTAGGCAGAGGTCAGACTGTCATTGGCAAAGATTTCAGATGAGGCCTTAGGTTCACGCCGTCTTTGTGAACAAAGCATTTGACAGGGCTATGCAGAAAGCTTCCATCTCTCCTAATCTGGGGCAGATGCTACTGCTATAGCACAGAAAGGCTGAACAGAGAGGAACACTGAGCTGCTGATTCAAAGGGTGGGTACATTAGCCTTGTCCATACAATATTTACAGGCAGGGGGAAGGGGGTACCTTTTCGACTGGTGGCGATACCAGTGTATGGCCCAGGAAATGGAGATATCTTCTGCCACCTGGATCCTCACAGGGTCCATAAAATGTTGAGTTTTTAAATGAAGAAAATGGTTCTCCCATGGGGCTACATAGGGAAGCATCTGCACAGTACATGCAGGGGAGGGGGGGAAATCACCATTCACTAGCTACTCTACGTGGTTGCACCGGGAATTTGTGCAAAGGCGCTCTTTGTGCAAGGCACTTCCTGAATTGAGTCAGCTACCTCGAACTACCATTACTCACTGTTCGTGCGGTGAGACACCACGAGCCTGCCCCTGAGATCACATCTGGTTAGAAGGATGACTGGACTGGAGGACTGAATGAAGAAATGGCTTTAGGTGGAGCCATCCAAACTATCCTGGTTGAATCCTGCCTAAATAGTCTTGGGATTCATGGAATTTAGAGGGCAAGCAGTTATTAGACCTGAAGGCCAGGGGTTGAGAAATGCATCTGAAAGCAGCTGCTCACGCTGTCCTCCCCTGGAGCAAGACTCCCGAAAGGTCACCCAGGAAAAGAGGAAGCATCAGAACTGAGAGGAGAGTTACACCTGCTTGGCATATGGCCTTCAACTCCGAGAGCTTTTACATGAAGAGTCTCTTCAGTTTGTCTCCAGGTGCGTATCGGTGGACCCCCTTGCTCACTTTGATCCCATCTGGTATCACCACCTTTTTGACAGTGGTGGAAACAAGGGTCCTTCTCTGAGTTTGATGGCTACTGGAATTGTAGGGCACACCAATGTACCCCTGCAAGGCCTGCTTCACTGATACACAGACTTCATCCAGCATTTTGCACTGCAAAGGTGAAACCTGCATAGTGTACAGGCAGCAGGAAATGCATCTGAGAAGTCAAAGAGACCACGGCTTGAAAACTTGCTTGGAGTCCAAACCCAGGACAGCAATAATCCAATCCGATCAACTCCACCCTTTGAGGTGTAGCCAGCACTGGCTTTTCTTGGTTTACTTTTAGGCACGGGATGGTGAAAAGTTGAAGTCTGTTGTACCAAGTCAGTTGATTACTGCTTGTTGAGACTGCCTAGGAACGAGCCTGTCAGCTCAGTACAGGTATACTGACCGGTCTCGTTTCCTGAGCTAAGATGCATCTCCCTGGAGACATTGTGGGAAGACCACTGGTGCTGCTGACAAGCTGAATGGCAGTATCCTATGGTCAGGAAGAACTGCCCATCTAAAGCCTCAGGTATCTTCTGTGAAACAAAGGTCTTGGACCCTGAACTGCATACCAGTACTGTGGACCACAAGAGCTCAAGTGCCTGGGGTGCACATGGTCCACGGACACATACTCAAGCGGTAGGTTGTTTCACAAGCGTCAAAGCCAGCCACAGTATCAATCAAACAATTACGGTGCAGGGATTTTTGGGGGCCAACCCTCAAGTCTGTGGGAGCTATAGGTTTGACTTTCATTGATGTCCACGGGAGTTATCCCAGTTAGTTCTTTACAGTTCAGACTTTTTTCTTTTCATTTGGATTTTTTTCACTGCATATTTATTTAGGAGTTAGGACAAAATAAATTAAGTTGATTTTAGGAAAAAGCTTACAGCAGTGCAACTAGCAAAGCACATTCCTGTGGGGCTTGCCTGAAGTATGACCTAGAAGAACATTAAAAAGGTGTAGTCCTCTTACCTCCAGGGAAGTATACAGCTTAACAAACCCAGACGTTTCAGAAATGTCCCCCACCCTCCTCCCATGACTACTTTATTTTGCACTTCTTCCTACAGCTCAAATGTGCACTTCCTCCTACACTTGATTAGCTGATAGTTTCTTCAGTGCAACTAAATTATGGTTAACAGCTCTCTAATCCCCTCACTATGAAACAATCGTCAACAAGATACGCTGTAGTTATGCATTCACATGACATGCAACGGCATCCAGCTTTAACATTATGCTTTCATAAGAAGGACAGATAGGCAAACATGAAATTCGTAACTCATTTATTGAATATAGATGCAAGGATACCAACAAAAAGAAACTAATACTGCAAACTACAACTTTGGAAGTAAAGCCAATATAACAGGAACAAAATATACATAACAGAGTCGATAGGAATGTGTTTACCCTCTTGATACATTCCTTGTCTTTACATCTAGTGTAAATGTATGCTGAGAGCAAAAGCCAAACATGTGGGCCTGATCTGAGCGCTTTTCAACAAGCAACGGTCGTCCAGGATCCTTTAAGGGTTGAGATGTCACCGTTGGCTAACGAGTGTGCGTACATATGCATACACAGAAACTGCTTCAACAAGTATATATATATATGATCAAGAGCTGTACTCTGGTTTTTAACCTCCATCATTAATACAGTGGGATCTGCTGATAGCGACATGGAAGGACTGGCTGTGACATACTTCCAGCCTTCTTATGAGTTAAACCTCACGGTGATGATAAGGAGGGTTAATTCAACCAGAATACTGGTTTGCCATGCAAATCTCCTTGGCAATTATTAACTACCAAGGGTGGCATTTCAAGGGGATCATCATCCCCCTCTTCCCCAGCTCACCAGGAAGGTACTCCTTTCCACACAGAGCAGCAATAAGCAGCAAGCCCCAGCCTGTAGTCTCGCCATGTCTTCTGTCAACAAATAAGTGAACCCAGGGGATAAATTCTGTATAATGCATGGAGTTGCGCTTGGACCCCCCCTCCCCCGACATAGCAACATGGCTCTTTGTACCTCAGGGGAGAGGGAGGGGGAGCGGGGGGGCAGGATTTTTATCTTGTGGAGTGTGCGTGGTGCATCCGTGGCTGCCTTCTGAAGCTTGGCAAGTGGAGTTTCTAGCAGGGCCATGAGCACAGCATCTCCGGTTGGCACACACCTGCTGAATAAGCAGACCCTTTAACCACCCTGCCACAGCCCCCTTCCAGCCAGTACCACAGACACTGATACTGGGCTGGACCATTTCAGTCTCCTCGAACCAGAGTTGAGCCTCCTGCGGTGACTGGTCACCAAGTGGAACCTGTGCCAGTGTGTTAGCATGAACCAGAGTCTTGGGTAATTTGTCCAAGAGCTTTCTAGGGCTCTTCCCTCCCGCATTACTTTATGAATTCTGTGGGAAAGAGAAGCCCTGCCAGCAGTGGGATAGATCTTTTGAAAGGGCAGTCTCCTGTGAAACTACTCTGCGGCTTTTGTCAGGGGAGGTGGGGGGGGTGGGGGGGTAGTTTTCACAATTGGAGGAGTCTCTAACAGCATGTACTGCTCTTGTAAAGAAGAAATGGTCCCAAAGGCCATAAAACTCAGTTCACCTCAATCATTTTCAGAAGACAAGTTTCTTAACTTTAGGACTGTTTTCCAATTGTGAGATGAAAGCAAAGAGGTCCCTATTAAAAAAAACAAAACAAAAATCAACCCCCCCACCCACAAAAAAAGTAGGAACAAATTGATATTAATTTAACTAGTTAATTTAAACAGATCTATTTCACCTATAAAGCACTTTCATTTCACCTATAAAGCACTCCTAACATTTCCGAGAAGGCAGTAAATGCTCCAGAAGAATCTTCAATATATGCTCGCGAAGATTACATTGCTTTACAAAAAAAGACAGACCGTCCAAAATTCCAAGCTAAAATACGCATAAAAAGACAGCAATGGCAGTATTTTGTCTTTAAAAAATGATGCAAATGTTGTATACCTATCATACATTTTCATGCTTATTAAAACTACAGTTAAGGACATAGGAGATGTACAGTAAATACACTGCTGAGGTACATTTCTTCTAAATATTAACACCATCACAGATTTACTCCCCAGCAGGTGATGCTACTTGGGAACATATAAATACAATTTTTACATCGTAAGGCACTTTTACCCAGCATACATGACAAGATGAAGTAAATGACTACATGATTTTGAGGCTTGTAACAAAAAGAAGAAAAATTACTTCTGACTTTCAGTTACCATGAATATGAATGAATGAGGGGTTAGCCAGCCCATCTCAACACAGTGAGATAACAGGTCACCAGCCACTTGCTCTTCTGCTACTCAAAGGTAAAGTGCTGTTATGGTTACTAGTGGCATGGAAGGGAATGATTTCACATCAAATGGATTATTAGATTATAAAATCCAACAGCTGATACAATATGAAATAGAACTGAGGCAAAAAAATGGAAAGATTATGTTGGCATATCTACCCCAGGTACCTGTCATCCTTCATTAATCAAAAATACAGTAGTTGCAAACAATGAAAAGTGCCTTTATTCATGGAAGGGCCATGTCTGAGGCACACAACGTAGAAGCGATCTAGAGACACATTATTTTGCATTCTGAAACTGTTCTGTGTGGTTGAAAAATGTTCATCGTCTAGCAAAACAAACATCTTGGGAAACAATTTCATCAACCGATCTGTCATTGCAATTCAAGTCACACTTTTAATTCTGAAAGTTACAAATACAAAATAAAAATGGTCAATGGCATCATGTTTAGAGCAGTAACTGAATCTTTCCTGTACAATGCAATTTTCCTACTAAAACTGCATTATTCCCCAAGAAAACAAACAAAACGGAGGGAGTTCCAACACAGTAACATGTTAGAAACTCGCACATACAACAATTGAGTCCCTTGAGACATTAAGGAAATGTGAAGAGACAACAACACGCTAAATCTTAAAAACACAAGTAAAAATGCTACGGAAATTTATGTTACAAATGAACTGCTTTTATAATGTCAACTGCAGATGAACCTTTGCAGTTTCTAGCCAAATTCTCAGTGTATTTTGCTTGCAGCTTTACTTCAAATCTTGAGGTTTTACTGGGTTTCTAGAAACAGTCAGAACCCTATCTAAACAATGAGGTGGCATGGTAGCGTTAAAAAGACTTGCACGTTAGATTAAATTTTTGGTTTTATTTCAAATAAATCTGCTAATGTGCTTTAACAGACCAATGGAAGAAATTACTAGCAATTAAAAAAATGCCAGTTTAATGACAAAAGTTAAGGAACTGAGCTGCTAGGTCTGATCGAACCTAATCTGGATTATTCTCAAATGGAACATCAAGCTCTAGCATGTGTCACTCCATGACAAAATTAACCAAATTCTACAAATCTTAAGAATCTTAAGCAGAGCTTCCTCATATAGTGGTCACAAGATTCAAAATAAATATTGATCTATGGGAAAGATCATATTCTCATTCTTCTTACAGCACGGGGGCAGCCTGTATATGTATTTTGGACAAAACATGAAATGTTCCACACAACACAGAACATCTGAGGTATGGATGTCAGATATGGTGGCTAAATTCCATAACGAGTTAAAAAGAGTAACTCTTCAAAATGTAAAGAGGTTGGGTTGCAGTGTCCAAAAACGAGTATAATAAAGGCTTCACTCACACTCAGTGAAAGGTTCTTGGTATACTAGGGAAGCAGAAGAGGTGGATCGTTGGGGAACGAGCTACAGCGCTTTGGCATGAGTGCTGCAGCTCACAGCTCATAACCAACACCTGCTCAAGAAAACTGCCAGCGAGGCATGCCGGGCCGTATGAGCAATCACAGCAGGAACAAACTGCAAGGTTCAAGCGTGCTTCTGTGTACACCGACTTCTTTTTCTACTATGTGCTTTGCAAGCAAAACAGAGAGCAGCTTTTCCCCACAGACAGCCTCCATACTTGGTTTAAGAAGAAAACGTGAAATGCACAAGTTACCAGCTTCTGGCCAACATGGGCGTGTCCATGTTGTGAACTGAACTTGCTAAGACCTTCTCTGGTGCATGAATCCACTAAACAACTTACACATTCCAAATCTTAGATTTTTATTCAGTCCAGAAATATAGATCTTACTTCATTTCAATGTCTGCCTTAACTTTTGACACTGTACATATTACATCTCATTTATATAGTGTTTCAATTTTTTCCAGACACTGCAGACTACAAACTACATAATATTGACATGTAAAACTCTGCCACTTATTGAAGGCTCACAAACATGAACGTTTCAGGCAGTTCAATGAAATTTCTAGCAGATTTGGGCAGTAAAAAGTTACTAGCCCTTTTCTGATCTTAGAAAAACAATTTAAAAGAATTAGTAGTTATGGATGTCTTATTCATTCCCAGTTCTCTAACTCTGTCCCTTGAACCTGTTTAAAAAATGATGAAAACAACAGTAAATTTAAAATCACACAGAACAAAGAGAAGAGCAACTAACAGAACTGATATTACATCTACAGTTAGTGACAAAAGTCAGGGCTTCCGTTCCTATATTTTTACAAAGCTGGCTGGATAAAAAAATAAAATAAAAAGAAAATCAAAAACAAAACCCTCTCCCCCAAATAAAAATGTTCCCCCACTCTTCTACGGCATACAAATAAAAAGCACTTATTTATATATGCTAGATTTAAACGTTTTACTGCAATAAAGTATGCCAAATGTACGTTGAGTGTCTCAGTAACAGATCTGTCAGGACCAACTTCCATACCTAGTTTCCATTGAGCTGTTGTTGAGGAATGTCACTATGGCCAGTGCCTGCTTTCCCACGGCTTTTGCTCTCTCTTTCTTCATCTTCTTCATCTCTTTCATCATTTCCACTGTGGTTTTTACAATAGAGTCTAACATAATAAAAGAAACAGTGGGCGAGTTACTAGTAAACAGGACAAGTTACTTTATGGGAGTACTTTTAGAACACGCTGGGGTTCCACCACTGCTGAAGATGCACGTTTTAGAACTTTACTGGATAATTAATTATACAAGGCATCAGACAACATCTGCAACAGACATAATTATCAGCTACCTTGCTTGAATCATTAGCCAGAGACCGAAAGACCTGGTGTAAGGACAAGTACAAGATAATTCATAAAGAAGAGAGGCAACAGCTCCCAACTGGCAGAAGATAATAAAGAGGCGTTCAACATCTCTTGGGTAGGAGCCTGCCAAACTGTCATAGCTCCATGTGCCTGAACAGGCACTACATTATGTGCTAAAGACCAGAGGAAAAATGCAGATCTCCTTCAGAAGCACTTTCCAAACCCAGTCACTCCGGACTGAGAAGGATCTACGTACACTAGACCGACCTGACTAGCCCCACCCAACTGAAATGGCTGCGCAGACGCTCACAACTTGAACATGAAGGGTTCAATGTAGCAGTATGATTAGTATTCATGGATTCTACTTACAAAAAAAAATTGTAAGAGCAAGCATTATCTATTACAGAAATGAGCCTGCACCACTACAGATAAGGCAGCATTTTCATTACTCGGTATCCTATAACTGTACTGTGCAAACTGGTCTAATCCCCAAATAATTAGAAACTGCCAAAATGAACTGATTTTTACTTTTGATTAAAAAATGCTGCAAGAACTGTTGAGCTGATTAAAATAAGTGCATTACGTACAGCACTGCTCTTCTAAGAGAGTGAATACGGCTAGTACTTTTTAAATTCAAAAGTTACATGGTGTATTTCCTCCATGATATGATGGAGCTTAATGACAGAATGGAGCAGCAATTCTGTTTATATAAAAATAAATTGGAAACAACTGCAATCCCAGCGGGAACATGGGTTCTCAAGAGTTTTGTAATGTGTATGCTACAGGGGAACTATTTTCATGATTTTTAGCTGATTAATCAGTTTAAAACCATTAAATGGCACTGAAATAAGCAAAGAAAAGTAAGGCTTGAGTGCAGCTTGCACAAGCTAGTGCAGTTAGTAAAATACTGAAACTGATCCATCCCAGTGCTTGGGGATCACTGCTACATGCTCGGAGAGCACCCCCTTGCGGCCAGACCAAGGCGCAACATTAGCATCAGCTTCAACAGCAGCAGGGTCGTAGTAATAAAAGGCGGAAGCAGCTGGAAAAGGAGACAGGGGGCAGTTTAGGAGGGTAAAGAAATAACAAAGTAGGTATGTCAGTTATCCCCCAAAAAACATAACACAGTAAAACTTTACTTCAGTCATCTGAATTTCAGCTCAATCAGGAGGAAATACATCTTTGTATACTTTCCTATAAAAACCCCACATTTGTTTGCAGCGATGCAGACATTCTGAATGAAGTTAAAGGAGTCACTAAAATATTTTGTCTACGTATAGAAGTTATTTTGGAGTATGTTCACTGAAACGGTATTTTCCTATTTAGTAACACAGTGAACAGTTTTTCACAGAAAAAAGGAACTATTTTCACTTTTGCATATACATTTATTCTCTTCTTGATTTGGTAAAACAAATCAGAAGAAAAGCATGAGTCTGGTGGGCTGAACGTCAATCCTCTCCAACGCCATAAGCTGTGGGGTCAGCTGATCCTGGCTGATGAAGGGGCAGTGCTTCTTCAAAGGGGTCCAGAGCCCTCTCAGGTGGCTGGCTGGTGTGCTCTGCTCACGTGCTCAAGGCCATACTTACCTAATATGGGCCGGAGAAGGATAGCCTTCCTCTACAGGCTAGGGACTGCTAATCAGCTCTCTGCCACTGACTTTGGGCAATCAAGACACCTTGGTCAGTTCTGCTCGCTCTCTGGCACACAGTTTAGTTTCTATGGACTGGAACAGTTGGACCTCTAGTTTTGGGGTTTAATGTAAAGGACTCGGGTGAATCCTGGTAGCCTGTAACATGCAGAAAGTCAGACCAGATGACGTTAGCAGTCCCTCTGACCTTAATTTCTATGACACCACAGGATCCCTGGTGCGGTTCGGCTGCTTCCTAAGTGCTAGAAACTCTCTGAAAACAGTCTGACCACAAGCCCTTCATCTAATTTGGGGAGTGTTGCCTGCAGCACCCATCCAGTTCTTCTCATTTATTTGGCTAGGATGATGCAAGCGGAAGTGGAAGCTGAAGTGCAGAGAGTAAAGAAACATTTTTTGCGCTGCTCCATGCAGGGAAATTTATTTTTGACATTTTATGATTCAGGATTATTTACAAAAGAACTTGGGTTAGTTAATTTTGCTAGGGTACTTAAAACTGGCCTTTTACAAGCTTTTAGTAAACTAGACTACTGAATTGTACTAGTCACCTTATCCACATTTCTGAGCAATCGTTCAACAACCAAAGATGTGGGAAGACATGCACACCCTTGGTTTTGTCTTTAGAATATAAAATCTTGGTCTTTGTTTGAATACTGGCAAAGACAGGACAAGTACATTTCTTTGTTGCTTAATGCTTCCAGTGCAGCTGAATGGCACAGAAATCACCCTTACTGCATACTTGGTATTCTGTTTCAAAAGAAAAGTGACTTTTAAAATTAAATACACCGAAGAGGAAAAAAATGACTTTATACAGGCTTAACAACTGCATAAATTCTTACTTGTAAATTCCTCGTGACATATTCTCAATATACTTTGCTTTGTCTTCTACTCCACAGTGGTAATGGTAAGTCTTGATACAGGCTTTAATTTCACACCCAATGGTGGCACCAGGTTGGCTGCAAAGCGTGCATTTCTGTTGAAATGAAGAAGGCAACACTCAAAGTTATGCTCTTAATCCCTTTCATATCTAGTCATTTAGCATTCAACTTATCCCTTACCATTCAACTAACATGTCATCATCAAGTGCCAAATTTTAACCCTAGCCCAATGAGAGCAGCAATTTACCTGGTATATTACCCTTGGGGTACAAACTTAATTAAATTTGTAATAAACCAGAAACATAATATGGAAGTAATTAAAATAGGAATAAGAGTACAGTTTATCCATCTGCTAAATTAATAAGTTACTACAGGACTGAATACATCAATGTGGTTCTAGACTATATTTTGTTGCTCCTGAAGCTGAAGCTCAGGCTTTTTGCAATACCAGAAATGATATAATAATTTTAGGTAACGATCTAGCAAGAAATTGTTTTTTGGTGTAATCATAAAACGTCCCTGAGAACCTGTCTCCCGCTCTGGGGTTTTAACATAATTTCAGTCATACTAACATGCCACCATGAAGTGCTGAACCCCTCCAAAAACAAGCATGTGCCAACACAGGCCACAGTATTTTCTCCAACCAGACACATCAACACAGTCTCTCCACACTTCAGATTATTGTGGCCCAAAGGCCTGGGAGAAGACAGGCCCTGCAGGTGCCCAGGTGATTAGCAACCCTGGATGTAGGAAGCCCTGCAGACAGCTCTTCCTCATAGCTGAAGACTGGGGGCCCAAAAAAACAAGCAGTTTTTAAAGAGGAATTAATGAAAGATAAGCGAAGGATTCATTCATGCTGTCCCTTTACAGTATATGGGAGCAAACTATTAATGGTCATTTGCTAAAGGAGTTTATTTCCTTGGCCTTTTTGACGTTTTCACAAAACATGCATTTTTGGTTTGGAAAACAAGCCATCAATCCCTTCTTTTCCAAAGGTCAACAAGCTTCCTTCGTCAGGTATACTGTAGTGAAACGTTACAGTAAATGTTACAAATAACCATAGGAATAAAGTGGTCAAAAGGGATAAGCAGGATCTCACACATACTCAATAGAACCAATAAAGTATTGATTACAAACCCAAAAGACACGTACCATTCTTTTCCCTCTCTTGATCTCTTGAAGTACAGTTTTAATATCAAAATCTCCAAACTCTGCCCTTGATGTTGTTGTTAGCTGGACAGTGCCAGAAGAGAACAACTATAAAACAAATACATTTGAACAATGTCGGGTTAAACCACAAAAAGATTTAGGGACAGAGGTAAGAGAAGGGGACGTTCTGTACTCAACTGCCTACAGGAAAGAGGTGCCTTGCCAGTAAACTTAGGAGAAAACTGTACACCAAGGATATTGGCAATCTGCATATACCTTCCAACACCCAGTCTATGCTTTAGTTTCATTTGGTGCATTTAGAAATTTATTACAGTAAAGCAACAGGTAAAGCAGCAGGGACCAACCTTTTTGACAGGCAAATCATGACTTAGTCTTGCACCCTCCCCAAGTGTCACTCTGATCCTCTTCCCCTACCTGATCTGCTGTTCTGCTTTTTGCTCCCTGCCCTACCTGCCACTGTGCTGCCTGTCCCCTCCCCGATCTGCCACATGCCACCCCCGAGTAAAAGGAAGATTAAGATGGAAGAGACAACAACAATAAAAAAAGCACTGCAGTAAATGAAAATGCTGATCAGATCATGCATTTCATCTCCCTTGCTGAGCCATCTAACCCATTCCACTGACTCGTCTTGTCACTCAACCTCCTGGGAAAGGCATAGAAGGGGAAAAGAGGACAATCCCAAGTCAGAAAAACATGTGTCCATTATAAGTAACATTTATGGGCTGAGTGCATTTTGGGTTATAGGAACAGCAACACCATTCATATGTTACTTTGACTATACTGCATATACTATAAACAGCCGTTGGGAGATTTCAGCAAAGAATCTGAACTACTCTGGACTTTCCAATAGTATGGGGCCAAGTGAAAAATTCAGGTCAAATTCCAGGCTGGGTAATAATGCTCTACTGACATATATCTATTCTCTTGGTTGGACATGTCCCCTAGTGGCAGGAGAGAAACCAGCCCTGTGTCCAAGACAGCAGGCTAAGATGCAGTTAAGACTTCCATTCTAGCCTCTATCACAGACTACTGTGCGCTGTTACTGCGCAGTCATTTAGTACTTGCATACCCAAGTACTAAAATGACTGCCCAGTAACAGGTGCTACTGCACAGTAGCTTCCCCGCATGGCTTCCTGGCGATGCTGACTACACAGTAGCTCGTTAGTAGCGTGCAGTAGCGTCGCATCACAGTTCGTGCCCCACAGTGCTACTGCACTGTAAGCATTTCATGTAGATGTGGCCGGAGAGTAACAAAGGCCATCTCTCAGGCTTTTGCCTAAAGGCATGAGATTGGAAGGCAGTGGTGTGTTCCTTTAGGATGGAGTCTTTTAGTTCACACTTTTTTTTTTGGTTAAACACAGCCTATGTATCTACAGAAAAGGGGAATATTTATAAGGAAGCTGTGCATCTCTAAGCGTAGCCAACCTCTACTGTTGCCTGTGGTGAAAAATAAATGAGTTGTTCATTTGACAACACATTAGTATAGTACTAGCAGATTACTGGAAGCACAGGCTTTATTAACGCATAATTACATGCTAGGGCACAAATTTAAAATAAAGTAAGACATTTCAGAAAGAATGAGAATGCTGTGCTAATTAATAACAATAGCTTGACTTACCATGCACTTATAGTGTGCTGCTGCCTTTTTAGCATTAAATATATGAAGCTTTCCTCTAGCTTCATTTTCTTCTTCACCTGCATGACAGAATCCACATTTAGGTTTTGTATCACTGGGGCTGCTTCTGTGGGGAGACCTGTCTCTCTGAAAGAAAAACAATTGACTAAAATATACTGCTGGGTTAACAAGTGTGATCATAATTTAAAAGACTACAGCCACCATCTGGAGGCTCAAACAAATGCAAATGTTAATCAAAATATTTAATTTTAAAAAAATGATATATGCAGCTTTTTTCTAAGTTTAGCATATTTACTGCTTACATAGGAACTGCTTTCTATTTCATCTGTGCCATGTGAGGATGTAGATCTAGTGTCTTCTGACTGCCCTTTTAAATTTGTTTTCCTTGGTTTTCCCTTCCGACCCCTCCTCTTTCCTTTTGGTGGTGAAGGCTCCAATTCGTGTTCGTTGATACCTTCTTCTAAATCTGCTTAGAAGCCAGAAAACAACATCAAGAAACTATCCTCACAAATGAGCACCGTTTAACAAAACTTTAGGTAAGACAATGATAAATGGCTTCCCGTTTCCTATAAATTATGATCAGATACAGAAATGGTAGCCCTGATTTCCAGTTCATTACAGAAACATAACCTTTAGTCTTCTACTATTATATAATATGACTGTATACCCCTATGAAAACAACCAAGTCAAGTGCAGTCACCTTACAACATGTAGTACATTTAAATCCCTTGCAGCAACATTCAGTTCAAGGCTAAAATCTGTCTTCAGATATACAAGTTCATCTCCCATTGAAAGTAATGGGAACTGAGCAAGCATCTGAGGTCAGAATGGACCACAAGCATGTGTAAACTGATTTATTCTACGTAACCCGTTGCCTTCTATTAAACAATTCAAGTACTATACTGAAATCAACAACGGCTGTTTTCCAGAATGATGACTCACAAGGGAGAGGGACAGAGAGACCTGGAAAGCCAGTGTCAATCATGTATTATCTTAAACCAGTGGTTTTCAACCTTTTTTCATTTGCAGACCCATAAAACATTTTGAATGGAGGTGCGGACCCCTTTCAAGCTAAGTGTGGGTATTCACATAGTTTTTGTTGATCAGTCATCTTTCATGGACCCTTTAGACATAGTCTGTGGACCCCCAGGGGTCTGTGGACAACAGGTTGAAAGCCAGTGTCTTAAACCAATCACTCTATAAAGATGCATTACTTTAAAGCTTGATATATTCATAACTTTAATAGAAAAACTGCTCTCTTTTGGCCGCTGCAGTGAAACTAACTCTTAGGATGGTCAATACCAGTTATCTTTACAAATAAACTGGGAAACAAATCTACCTAATTACTTTCAGTGACTGTCCATTTTCAAGTCTACCGCTGGTGGTTGCAACCACGTTGCTGGGCAGCAGCCTCCACTCAGTACTGGAAATATCCCAGCCCAAAGACATACGCAGATGATGTTAACGCTAAGAATATTAACAGATCTTTTCAACACTAATATATTAAAGAAAATGGCAGCTGGTTAATGTCGCTGCATTTTCAATCTGTGTCGACTATTTAATCTATTCTCTTGATATACCAGTATTGCCTGTCCTCAGCACTTCGACAATCCTGTAAGTTTTAAGTGTACACCAACCTACAATAATAAAGTATTAAACTTTTAAGAACTTCATCTTATCACTATACTAAAACCTGATTTTGTTTTGATTTTTTAAGAGCTTATGACTCGGCCTTCTTAGATTCTTCTAAAAATGCCGGCAATTAAGAAATCATGATACAAAGAACTGTAATCAAACATTTTACTGAATCCCTTTGATCATTTAAACTATGTAGTTAACACACACCTACTGCAAGTCGTGTTTATTTTTGCCACGTGAGTGGCTTATGTCTAATACCGAAATACTAGCTTTGCTGTACTTGGTTGCTAATCATTTTCCTTATAATCAGCCCTACTGATGACGTCTTTTTATAAGACCAACATGCAAAGCTCCTGTAGCTGGATCTGTCATATGTGGACACTGCCTATTCCTCACTATTCATGAAACAAAGATGGAGATGCAGCCCCATACAGAACAGAATCACAAATCAGAAAGACTGGATCTCCTGATTTTTATATTAATGAGAATTTTAGTATTTTTTTCAAATTATTTAGGCATTACTAAGATGTATATCTCTATAGTATCATGGCCTCAGTATGGAAGCAGGATTAATAGTTTCAGGACTAAATACTGTAGCACAAATCAAAGGACACCAATTTACATTCCTCTGCTTCTTCCTTGATCTATTATGTCAAATAAAATCTAATTGCATATGATGCATTTCACTCCCATGGCAAACACTGCACTTACAAAGGTCAATTTTGTAGCACTTCAGTATGCCCCACCGATACTAAATTTAGTACAGTAACTGAGCTGCTGGCCTGAGCCCAAGAATAAGATTGGTAAGAACAATTCTTAGTCTACCACAGCTGTTGTCAAACTGCAGGAGAGCTAGATACTCTTACATATTTTTAATGAAAGAGAAAAAAAATCCACCTTCAGCTAACATAAATTATGCTCAGATATAATGCATAAAAACTAAGAAGCACTAACAAATTTCGGTACAGTCTGGAATAAACATGCCAGATTCATCAAATATACACATTTCCCCAGACTAAACCATGAGCATCAACCTACCTAACATTACCTTTAAGCAAGTCTAAATGTCACATTCCCCAGATTAAGATACAGAGCATCACAGCTTCCTTTTAAAAATAAAATATGGAAGGACTGATGGTGTAGTCAGGCGATACAATTCACAACTTCCTAGTTAAAAACAGTCTGTGCACTACAAAGAGATAACTGTTTTACTAGTCTAGTTTATTTTTTCATTTCACATGGCCTGTTCAGTTCCCACAATCAATATGGATGTCAGCTCCAATATCCAAAGGAAACCTCTTTCTTCAGACTGGTTGCGACAAATTAAGTCTTAGAACTTTGTGCTCTTCTAGCGAGAAGAATCCTGTTTTGTCTCCTCACATGCATGGGCCCTCCAATAATAAAGAAATATTTCCAAACCTTGTCCTGTATCTTTCACTGATAAGAATCCTAGGTGTTTCTTGTAACCACAGGTAAAAACATTCAGTCAAAAGTATGGATGTTAAGTTAATGTCCCTTTAAACCTCAGTTAATGAGAAATTCATACTAGACTGAATTTCATCAATCACGTTGTCCATTTGCTAATATTTGTAAGGTTTTTCTAGAGTTCCTCATCAATAAATTGATCATCAACCAGTTTCTCCCTCCACTCAGTCCACCCTCTTTTCCCAGTAATCAATATTTTAAACACCCATCCTTAAGACACCACACTACTAAACATTTACAATGCTAACAGGCCATTGGTGACTACAAAACAAGCAAACACACATGATGAAAATCAACTTTTTTTTTAATATAAAGAACTGTCACAGCCTCCAGAAAGAATCTTTTCTCCAATACTCATTTTGTGTTTTTTTGACAGTTAGAAAACAAAAGATTTCAACAGTAAATAGACCATGCATTTTTTTTAGATAGCTTCATTATTCGGTAATATAATACCATAAGAAAGAATTCATGGTTTTCCTCAAAGGATTTCTGTCCCCAAACAGTTGGGAATTCACTGAATTTTATGAAATTCATGAAAGCAGTCTAAATAAATGAACCCCCCCAAAACCCCAGATTAAGGCCCCAGTACTACAAACAGTGTGGATTTAAGAACTCATTTCAGTGGTACTCTACAGAGACACGGGGTTTTGTGCTGGCACATCTGTATCCTGGACTTATGCCTAGAAGATTACACTCTCTTTTATTAACAGCACTGTGAACTAGTGTAACAGTACAGAAAATAAAGAGGTTAAAACCAGACTTAACAACACTGCCTTGGACAGTCTTTACTATTCAACAGACAATATGGTTTTTGCCCTACCCCTCCCCTCAAGCCCACTGCCAAGCTTACCCTGTTTCCCTGGCATCTGATGGTTGGGTGTTTCCAACTTCTCATGTCAGCTTGAACTAAGGGAAACACAAAAAGTTGTTCAACACCTCCCTGACCATATGAAGTGTTATCATGGGTACAACCCATAGTGTGAACCCACTAGTCTCCCTAAATGTTCTTTGACTGCCCCCCAAGCCCCATTACCTTCATTGATTTTTGAAATGGCCACAATAGTCTCAATTTATCATTAGACAAAAGTTTTTAATGGGAAGTTCTTATGTCTTATAAACTGCCCTCAAAATTACCTAATATACCATAACTGAAGAAGTGGGCCTTATATGCCTGATTCAACAATGTTTTCTCCACCAAAAAATGCCCAAGGAGCCAGTCTATATTTCAGTAGCCCTAAAAGTATGTTAAATCAAGAGATGCAATAACTTTAGAACAGAAAGGAGTGATAAAGAATCCTGTCATACTTATACTTCAGAATGCCACTAACAGAACCAAACAGTACAAAAAACTGATTTATGGAATTATCCATTCGTTGGGCTATCAACATGGAAATCAATCACCCTCATTATGATGGCTAGAAGTGAAGGTCCTGAATGTTTTTCCTGCTCCAGCATGGAAACATAGTATACATTGAGAACTATTCATCTATACTTTACCATAACAATTTTATTTATATAAGGAATCCTCCCTCATTAAAAGCTAGCATTAAAGCAAAATATAGTGATAGCAAAGTAATTAAGATTGCGACACAAACCAGTAAGAGGAGGACATGCAAAGCAGAGGCTAACAGTAAGCTATCTATTTCAGTACCTCACAGAAAACATCTAGTGCAAAAAAACCCTAAGTCTGATAAATGCAGATGATAAAATTAACTAGCAACATTTATTATCAAGAGGTGCTGTAGCTATAAGGTGCCAAAAGACACTGTGAAGGTAGTAGTATGTAAATCTAAAAGCACCCATCTGCTTTAGTTTGTACAATCCAGTAGGTCACAACAAGTAATAGAGAAGCTCTAAAAATTATCCAGAGCAAAATTGGCAATGTTCGAATTTTAAGAAAGAGGTCAGATTTAAGGAGTAGCCTCAAAAAAGAAAAAACCCACAGAAGCAGAGAGGTAGCTAAGGATATTTAGGTCAGATAACCTTTAAGATAGTAGAGGAGTGAAAAATAAATTAACAACATGGCAATATAATTATTTTTTTTACAGAAAATGAAATGCCAGAAAAGGTAAACAGTTTCTTTTCACATGCATTTGACAATGAGAATGTGAATGCATCCATAACGGCAAATGAGGATACATTAGTCACTGGCATATAAGAGTGGAAAACAAACACCTGAATGAGGCAAATGCACAACTCATGAGGCAGCAGTAGTGATATATAATTACATATCAAACTACCCAAGTTACTTTTAAGAAATGTTTGATAATGGAGAAAGTCTGAGTTACAGGAATACTACAGATATTTCCCATGTATAAAGAGAGATTTAAGGGCAAAGGGTTA